TCCAAAATGATTTAATTATTACACTGCCGACGTTGTGATGGATCACATTAAAAGTGAAATTAAAAAAGCTTGATGAAACAATAGATGCAGCAAACTTAAGTCAATTATTCATTGTTGTGCGATATGTATTGGATGGCATTTCACAAGAGCAATTTTTAGGATTTTTGGACGTCACTAGCGAACGAACTGCAGATGTATTGTTTAAAATTGTTTGTGATATTATTTCAAGTTTAGAATGTGGTTCTAAGCTTGTTGCCCAGAGCTACGATGGTGCTGCCGTAATAGCTGGCCATTTAGGAAGCCTTCAAGCTAAAGTGAAAGAAAAGTTTAAACATGCAATTTTCGTTCACTGTATAGCACATAGACTTAATTTGGTTTTATCGCGAAGCATGGATAATATTAAAGATTGCAAAGTTCTCTTTTCGACGTTTAGTGGTTTGGCTTTCTTCATTTCAAAGTCATCGAAAAGAACTCGCGCTTTGGACATTCACGTTCAAAAAAGGTTTCCAAAAGTTGCTCCGACGCGATGGAACTACAATGGACGTTAAGTGCAAACAGTGTTTCAATACCGTGATTCTTTGATACACTTTTTTCAAGACGTTTGGGATAATAAAGAAACATGGGATGCTGAAACTGTTACTGTCGCTAAAGAGTATTTGCATTGGCTCAAACAAAACTTTGATTTCAATTTTTTGCTCAACATTTTTGCAGAGATTTTCCCTTTTACTGACATTTTATTCGACATTTTACAGAGCCAAATGACATTGGCTTTTGCATTAAACAAATTGATGATTTTAAAAATAAAATGAATAAAAATCTAGTTCAGTTTGAACACTTTTGGAATAAGACTGAAATGTCGGCGACAGAGAGATCTCCTATCGTCGATTATACGCCGAAATTTTTAATAATATTTTACAACAAATGAAATCTCGATTTCAAAACTTTAACGAATTAAAATTTGTTAAATTATGCAATTTTAATATTAGTAACTCGATTCATCAAAATTTCCATCGGAAGCTTTTAATTCACTAAAATTAAATTATGGAAATGTTTTCGATATTCCAGTATTAAAGTCCCAGTTAAGTGTTATTTATGAAACAAATGAAATTAGTGATAAAAAGACGCCCATCAATGTGTTAAATTTTCTTATAACAACTGGTTTAAATAAGTCCCTTTGTGAAGTCGTCAAGTTGTGTGAATTAGTACTAACCATCCCAGCCACAAGTGCGTCAGTTGAGCTTTTTCAGCTTTAAAGTGCATAAAAGTTTTATACGAAATTCAACAAGTGAAGACAGACTCTCTAATTTAGCCCTAATATCCATTAAAAAACAGCTTGGTAAACAGTTATCAGAAAATCCAAAATTTTACGATGATGTTATAGACAAATTTGCAACCATTGAGGATAAGCGAATAGATCTTAAGTATAAATAAATGTCAACTGCTGTATCAACTGTGCGAAAAATTCGTGAAAAAATAAAAAAAACTTCAGTTAAATGATTTTATTACGTTTAAATAAACCAAGGAAGCTTTTCAATGGTAAGTTTTTTATAGCTTCTAGTACTAAACTAGGTAATAAAGTAATAGTAACACTTCAAAACTCTCAATCTCGAATATCCGTAGTACTGAGGAAAAAGACAAGATTTTAACAAAATGGTGAATGCGCCGCGAAAAATTTTCGCCTGCGGCGCTCTGCTTACTGGCCTGCTATATTTTTATACAATCGCTCCTTTTCCAATAATGTCACTGCACACCACTGCGTACATGTTAGGTCGAGTTTTAATAGTAACGAGGCAAGTTCGTATGATGAAAAACTTTTTCCAACACATTACTGTTATTTTCCGCCTGTTATGTTCTAATTTAACAGTTTTCCATCATACGAACTTGCCTCGTTACTGTTAAAACTCGACTTAACATGTACGTTACGGATAACATAAACGTTCAATCATAAGACCCAATAAGTGACGTTGAGGCTGGTATGGGATGGCATCGAAGAACTGGGAATACTAGCAGATTGAAATAGAATTAAACTAGTTTGGCTGCTAGGTCATCAAGAAGCTGACGAACTTGCAAGAAAGAAGTTCAGAAGAGACACCACAACCAGATATAAATATTGGTGCAGTTGTTTAAAGATAGTTGCCATCACAAGAAACTACATAATTTTTAATAAACCCTTATTAAAAAAGTTTACAAGAGTAACAAAACAAACCAAATGGTAAATCTACTATGAACTAAATTAGAATGGTCCTTAAGTGTCTAAGCAAACAAGACAACCTGCTGTGTATCTTGTGATATCTAAGTTCAGTCCTGTTGGTGATGTCGCAGCATGTCGTGTACTATGAGCATGAAAAATATCTGTGTTAACCATGCATTAGAGTGTTTGCTTTACCCAACGACTTGAGGTGGAAACAAAAACTGAATTAAATAAATTTTTACAGATTTTCCTCTAACAATTTTAATTCGCTGTATGTTTCTAATATTCTTCCAGGGCAAATACTAGGATCTTGATCAAAATAAGGAATAATTGGAATGTGTTTCTATCTGTCAGGGATTTTTTATGCAGAACCCATCATCTGGAGTTCTACAAATAGTCTCTAATTTAATAAAGCTACAGATTTGCATTCCATGCACAGCAACTAATGGTAATATTGTTACTAATTTTGCTAATAGAAAGACAATTTTTTATTAAAACAGGGATGAAATATGTCTAGTTTCCATCAGTGACCATTAACAGGACTGTAAGAAATGTATGTTAAACAAATAATACAGAGTTATCTAGAGAAAATTAAAAAAATGTAAACATGAGTAGGAGGTAGCTAAGAATTAATTACATAAAATTTAACTGTTATGGCAATTAAAATATTATCATAGTACATATAATAGCCCAAGAGCCCACTGCAAATTTTTACCGTCATCTGATAACGAAATGAAATATACCCCAAAAGCATGTAAAAACATTGTACTTTACCAAATGTCATCTGTGCCAATCCCAATCCTGAGCAAAGTAGCTTGAAAAAATTATTTTATGTTAAAAAAATCACATAAGGCATGACAGCGCTAATTTTGTTTGCCCTTAAAGTTTTCCAGAAAATAACATTCAAATATATCTTGATATATATCGTAAAAGGGAAACATTTTCTTTCTCCTAACATCGCACAAAAATATCTATCCACGATTAGTAGGTAAAAATTATTAAAAATATGAATCAATTTTTGCTGATTTAAAATTTTATTTGTATGCCTATTGTTGTGATTCATTTTTACAGGTTGCCATAGAAACGACAGAAAAAACTACTATGATTATGGTTTAAAATAATTGTCTGAAAAGTGTTTATAATTATTCTTGACTATCTCTGCAAATGGTTTATACAATGCCATCCTTCTTCCTTTCACACATAAACATGGTTTAAAAGGTAGGTAAAAATATTAATAATTCTGGTTTAAAAGCTAGGTTCACAATGAATTAGGATTGTAATTTTCAGGGAAAATACAATTGTGGCTGTCATGTCTTATGTGATTTTTTGAATATAACATAATTTTTTTAATCACTTTGCTCAGGATAGGGATTGGCACAGGTGCAATTTGGTAAAGTACAATGTTGTTACATGTCTTTGGAGCATATTTCATGTAGTTATCAGATAACGGTCGAAATTTGCAGTGGGCTCTCATACTATAAGAGCTAAAAGCATTGAGATAGAATAAAGAAAAGATGCTATCACAATGCTAAAGTGACCACACCTTTGCATTACATTTTTACATCATATGTCAAACTCAAAATAGTGGAGCTACCCAGATAACAATTATACATTCTTAGAATATTCGATGCGTTGCTTCGTGCGTAATGGCTTACTTACAACTCTTGTTACGTAATATACTATTCCAGGCCTCGCAAACACTTTACTGCCTAGGTATACAACATAATATGTTTTTATTTTTCTAATACTTATATTAGAAAGAACTCATTATTGGTACACCAATCCCTGAAGGAATTCATTACTATAATTGGGTTTCAAGTTGAGACGTATTATAGACAAGGTTTTAGGTTACTAACGCCTTTAAAAAAAACCTTCTAATTCTAATATTTACACCAATGTTATGTAATGGCACCCTATATTGACCCTGTAGAAATTTCAAGACATACAAAACTTCCACTAATGTTTCAACCTCACCGTTTCACTGAAAAAATGTGGTGTCCCATAATGTGAAAAAATGTACAATGTTTCTCTTGGTTTACAAAACATCTTAAAGCAAAATAGGCAGTTCTTCACTCTAAAAAATGTATATGGTGAGCAAAAGAAGGTCTAGTGATGTATTCAGAACATGAAATGTTTTGAATCCACCACTTTAGCATTTTTAGGTATAATCATTTTGGTATATTCATCTAATCCTATTATATTAAAGTGCCAATGTCGTCTGTCCGTGCCGTGATCTCGGAATAGACAAAGCCAAAATCTTATCGGACTCATATATAAGCTAGAGACACTTAGAGAAGCACAATGCCACCAAAATAATGGTACTTTTGTGGTTCCCGAGATATAGAATTCGATCGAAAATTTAAATGAACGAAATCGTTAATGTCAAAGATTACAAATTACGGCCTACTATATTAAAGTGCTAATGTCTGTCTGTCAAATTACCATTGTTTATCAGCACACTTTTCAATAAATTAGCAATCAACTATGAATGTCTCGATAAATCAACTTCCGGAACACCTGGATCAATTTTAATTTGCAAAAATTTACTGTTCAAATGATACACGCGGCGCTACGCGCCTTGTGTAACTTTTGAAATCTTCTCAAAATTTGAAGCGGGAAGACGCTCAGCCCCCCGGTTCTCTTTGAAATGCTATAAATCTGATTTGTTGTGATCCTAGATCCTAATGTAGACCCAACCATATCTGATATTGCTTGACATGCAGATACCAGAACACCTATTAGTCTAGAAATACATCCCTAAGAAAGAATTGACCAAAAACATTGTTTAAAAATCTACGTTCTTTTGCAGGTTACCTGGAACAAGGCCTTCTAGTCACCGATCCCCAGAAGCTCCGCGCCCACTACCTCCAGTCCAAATCCTGGCGAACGGACATCCTGTGCATCATCCCCACCGACCTGGCCTACATTTGGTGGCCTCCTTTCGATGGCGATCCAAAAGTGCCCTGTCCTGTCATCGTAAGACTAAATAGACTGTTCAAGCTGCCCAGGCTGTGGGAGTGGTTCGAACGAACCGAAACCGACACCAATTATCCGAACGTCTTTAGAATATGCAAAGTGGTGTTGGCCATCTTGGTACTGATCCATTGGAACGCTTGTTTGTACTTCGCCATCAGCTATTTTATCGGTTTCGGAACGGACAGTTGGGTGTATAATTTAAACGGAACGGCGAACGCCTCTCTGGCTAGACAATACATTTATAGTTTCTATTGGTCCACGTTGACCTTGACCACTATCGGTGAAACCCCAGTGCCTGAGAACGATGTCGAGTATCTGTTCGTCGTGGCGGATTTCTTGGCTGGTGTGCTTATATTTGCAACGATCGTTGGTGAGTATTATCATAATTACTGTTGCATTGAACTATTATTATTAACAGAGAAATAAAAATTCAATACAAAATGTGAATACGGCTCTAACTAGGGCTCGCTTAACTTGTAGACTGCTGCCATAGGAGTAGGTTTGAGATTTTCCCAGATCCAATAAAAATCCAACCTTTTGAGTTGTTTACAGACTTGATAACGATTAACACTTTTAATTAGGTACAGCACTTTTAATTATGTTCGTTGCTTAGAAAATTATTTTTATTAATTTGCATCACGTCCTTTAGCCGGGAATTTGGTTTTTTGTGCCACCTGAATCGTTTAACTGTTGTTACCTGACTGACTGTCTCAACGTTTCATCCGAGAATAACGATCAAGGAGAAGCGACTGTAGCTGTCGGTACCATTGATATCGAATGGACCTTTTTCACAGCATGCTTTTGATTAATACACAACTTAATACGCTGAGAAAACATGCTTATTTTCTTCACTGAGCGAAATAGTTTGGCGAAATAGTCCATGCGCCAATGTTGTAATGTGATTTAATTACATTGAAGTAGTTAGGGTTAATAGCAATGTTGAAATTTCGGCACCAAAATATAATTCATTATGTAATAATCTTAGATAAAAGAGACCAGAGATATAACATACACCGGTGTTTAACCTGCGCAAATGTTGCCAATTTCTAAAGAAAGGTTAACGGAGTGGGGGAACTGGGCGGTGACACGCGGCGACCCGAACTCTGTGGCAGGGACCGGACTTTGTTTATTAGCATCATAATGAACTATTAAATTTATTTAAAAGGTGTTTAATCGAATTTTGTATTATGAAATAAAATTAACGTGATTTTTTAATATCAAACAGATGCCACGACATTTTATGTAAAGAGAAGACCTTTTATAGAATATTTCGTTAGCGTTTATTTACTACGGACTTTTCTGCAAGAGATTACAGTAAAATGTTGAAATGGAATATATTATTGATAGAGCAAAAAATGTTACGCATTGTCTACAAGTATTATAAAAATAGCATGTGCGCAGGAAATACTGCAAATCTAACCTTATGAGTTGAACATTATATTTTTTTCTACGGCTATTACATAATAATAAAAATTAGTCAAAATGAGAAAATGCTGTTTTGTATTATAACCTCAGAAAAAGGTATGTTAAGACTTCTTTCTTTAGGAATATTAATTATTATAAAGGATGAGTCACATAAAACTCTAGAAATGCATATGTCTGAAACCAGATAACATTTTAAAATTTAAATCTATTAAAAGTAATTTGGTCGCTAGGGATGAGTGATTATTGAAATAAATTATCGATCATTGAAAATAATCGATTATTTTCGATCAATCGATTATTATCAATAATCTATTTTTATTGTATTTCCTTTAAAATCGATAATTCGATTATCTTTGAAATGCCAAAAATAATAGATTATTCCTAAATAATCGTCTGTTGAAAATAACTAATTACCTATTTCAGAAGCCGATTCTACGATAAATCGATTTTCCAAAAAATAACTGAATTATCGATTATTTTCTAATAATCCATTTTTTTCGTCCATTGAAACAGATTATTTGACAATTTTTGAAAAATCGATTAATCAAAAATAATCGATTAATTAAAAAGTCGATTAACTGATAAATCAATTTTCAAAAAAAAACAGAATTATCGAATATTATAAATAATTGATTATTTTTTATCGATCGATTATTATCAATAATCTACTTTATTGTATTTCCTTTAGAATCGATAATTCGATTATCTTTGAAATACCGAAAATAATCGATAATTCCAAAATAATCGCCTAATCGGAAATAACCAATTAATTAAGAAGCCGATTCTATGATAAATCGATTATTATCAATATTCTATTTTATTGTATTTCCTTTAAAATCAATAATTCGATTATCTTTGAAATACTGAAATTAATCGATAATTCCAAAATAATCGCCTAATCGAAAATAACCAATTAATTAAGAAGCCGATTCTGTGATAAATCGATTATTATCAATAATCTATTTTATTGTATTTCCATAAAATCGATAATTCGATTATCTTTGAAATACCGAAAAGAATCGATAATTCCAAAGTAATCGCCTAATCGAAAAAAACCAATTAATTTAGAAGCCGATTCTATGATAAATCGATTTTCCAAAAAATAAAACGAATTATCGATTATTTTCTAATAATCCTTTTTTTAATATTTCCTTTAAAATTGATTATTCGATTATCAAAATTAATCGAATATTAAAAAGCTGATTAACCAATAAATCGATAATTTTAAAAAATAACCAAAATATCGGTTATATAAAATAACCGATTATATTCAATCAAATAATGAAAAAACCGATTGAACGAAAATCGATTATTTTGAATAAATTTACATTTTTTGTATTTCCTTTAAAATCGATTAATACATTATCTTAAAAAAACAAAAATAATTCATTAAAAACAGCGGATAAATCGATTTTCATAAAAAAATATCAGAATTGTCGATAAATCGATTATTTTTGTAACCCCTGTCGGTCGTTTGCTTTTATCCGAGCGTTTAGCTCAAAAATTTAGAGATTCGGATTTTTTGATCCCGTTATCTTTGAAACCGCATTCGATTATAAATATTGCTAAATTTTGGATTTTTTTAGTAAACGAAATTTGTTCGAGTTGTTTAGGGGTTTGTAATGTAACATTTTATTAATGTGACCAACTCCCGTAACTTTAGTATTTTTTTGCTTATACTAGATCATATGGTGCGTTTTACTTTGTTTTAAGACTGAAGATTCAAATGTCACTTTCGATTTGACCGCAAATAAGATGAACCTTGTAATTTTAAGTAGGTCATCCTGTATTTCATCTAATATTCTTATAAAAATACCTTATAAAAATAAAATTTAGCTAGCAACTATGATTCTTTACTTCTTATTTATCTACCAAAAAGGGCTTAAAATCACCTTTAGAAAACATTTTTATAAAACTACTTTTTAAATATAAAATTTCGTTAGCAACAATGCCTATTTACTTTTTATTTAAATTAAATGTTCAAAATTTTATCTTTTTGTAAATTTATGTAAGTAATATGAAATCTGATTTCGGATGCTTAATATTTATTGAAACCCCTTAATGCGGATCTGAAGTATTCAGCCCAGAGAATCATGGCGCTTCATGTCAAAACGTTAATAAATATTTACCGCTGAAAACGAATATGTTCATAACATTTGTACTTGTATTATAAGTACATTAAGTACATACATTTTTTCAAGATACATCGTGGCATTTTGAACTTGAAATTGATTGACTAGAGCACTTTAAATTGCTAAAATACCAACAAATAAATCAAAAAACAGCTGTCAATGGTGATTAAATTCAGGTGGAGGTGATCGATGAATGGAAAAATCGGAGCAATTCGGGTGGCGTCGTGAAAACAATGATTTTCAATTGGTGGGTTACTTTGGGTTAAAATAGACAACATGCGCAGTGTGCAATGTTACATCTTCGGTCTCTTTGATCTAAGGTAATAATTAATTATTTGTTATAAAAGTAGAAGACGTATATTATTTTATAACTTATCTATAAAATTTGTTTAATATTTGGTTTATTTATTGTTAAAAATGTAATAAAAGCCCCATATTTAAATTAAAAAACCTTTTCCTTAAGTAAAAATAAGGTAAATAATATTAAGGGTACCAAAAAAAATTTACGTAACAATTAAAAAGACTATAAGTTTGAGAGGTTTAACTAAATATTTGCAATGTTCATATATTTTCAAAGCTTTTAGGATTAAAAAGTACCTAGATATTTTTAGAAATTCTGGATTTATATTATAGTAAAAGGACTTTCAAGTTTATTACTCATTTCTGTAGAAACAAGTGTTTTCTCGCAAAGATAAGCCAGATGTCATTTAAGGTTTATGTATTTAGATGGCCTTGCTATCACCCAGACAATACAAATTTGTCCATTGGACGTCTATTCGATATACAATTTTGGATGTCTAGACGTCCAAAAATGAATTTTTTCTGGACTTCCGACATCCAGTGGACGTCCAGTGAAGTATACAAATGGCACACTTTTGATCATTCAGAGGACGTCCAATTCTGGAATATATTTGGACGTCGAATACTGGACATTCAAAAAACGTCCAGGATTATATTTCCATTGAGATCACATCCCCACTTTTTTACAGAACCGCATCACCACACACTCTTTTAAATTATTAATAAGTTGTTTATTATTTTCGAAAACCGCTATACACCATTTATTTTTTTTTTTTTTTAATTAAAGATTGCTTGACCTGAGCAGGAATCGAACTTACTACACATCCATTATCGTTTTACGCTTTCAATCGCTAGACGAGCTCGACCAAGGAACCACTAGAAAACTTTTTACTAGATATAGTTATAATGGCATACGATTTCAAACTTCCGCTGATAGAATGGAATGCAATAGATTCAATTTGTCAATGTTTAATGACGAATTATATTAAAAAATAAAGAAGTGTATATAGATGGGTATTATCTGGTAGGCTTAATAAATAATGACCTAAGATGGACGTCCACTGGACGTCAAAATACTAGTTAACTTAAAATTAAGTCCAAAAACAGACGTTCTCTGAGTATCGATATTCAGCTGTCAAATTAATTAGCATAAACGGTCGTACACTGGGGTGCTTTCAGAAATGGAGAGCGTCAAATCAAGTTTTTGATTATGTCTGAGATTGTAGGAATTATCAAAAATTAGTAAATAGGTAACATCATTGACATCCACATAGACTTTTTTTATGTAAAAATTCAATTCATTACCTTTAATCCTGTGTCATAAAATTTTATAATTTTCTATAATGAAATTACCATCATTTCCGACAACTAGACGATAATTGATGGAATTAATTCTCTCACTCATACTCATATTTAAATATTTTTTACTCAAAAAGTAAAAATAGGAAATTAAATACTAGGTGGTTCTCTTAGGTTAATTGGGATTATAACATACTGCGCAAATCGAGTAAAA